CTGTAAAACAGTATAGAAGAACAAAGATCACTTACTTAGTTAAATTCTGTGTAGAAGTTGTAGATGAAAGCTAGTCTTGTTATAATTTTGCTTAATAATGGAACATGATCTGTGTTCAGTGCAAAATATAACCTCTTTGGTTGACATGAATTATGATTACAGCCAAAGAGGTTGCATACTGGCCACCAAGACTTTAGCATGTTCGGTTATTATAAAGAGATAGTGAAAACAGTAGAAGAGAAGCGTATAATGGGCAAAATGTGATTGATAGAGTTTTGTAGATTAATATTGTAAATTTATCTAAATAAAGTTGTTTTGTATGAACACAAAATTTTGTATTTTTGGCTGCTGCTCTGTTGGTATCAAATTAAAGAATCTGAATGTTTTATTTTTTTTTCTTTTTAGTTAATGTTCTCATCACTGCTGTATTTTGTTATAAAACTAGATGAACAGCAATAATAAAGATTGGTGGGCAGTAAAGTTCCGATGCCAGGAATTATATATTTTTTCTTATACTGTAATTATTGTTCTAGTAAAATATTGTAGTAGTTAAATTTGTATAATTTTTATTGTTCATTAATGGTTAAAATAATTTTATTTGATAGAGTTGTTTTTATTAACTTTGACTTATTAGAAATATTTTTGATAACCTATTGATGTCATTGAGTAATTATTAATTTTGCTTGATAAATAAATTGTTGGGTTTTACTAATATATGTATTGTTATATATTTCCTTCATCGCACACACAGGCACACACCCAAACACACACACACACACACATGAGTGTAATGATGGTTTATGTCTCAACTGTCCCCTGTATAATAAACTGAACCATTAACTAGTAGTTAATGGCAAGCTTAAAACCAGCATAGCCTTCAGTAACAAGATAGAGGCCGCATTAGCTGAGCCTTCTACTTTTGGCTATGGCTTTATTGATTTTTCTTTTTTTTATTTTATTAATATGCTCTGTAATTTTTTGTTACATTTTTTTGTGGTTTTATTGGACAATTAATAGTGTTTTATGTATTTATTTAATTGCATTTTATAAAGCAGATTTTCTCTATATTGTGGCATTATTTTTTATGACAGTTATTTGTAGAGATTGTATACTCTCTCAAGATTGTTATAAATAAAGAAATAAATGGTTAACAGACAGTTGTTGTATACAGTTATTGTTGTTTATAAATTGTGCATAAACATTAGTCAATGATTTTAACTTATGTTTAACACTCAAGACAAGTGAACATTTTTTATAGGTTAAATAAATGTAATGGTGGAAATGGCATTTATTTTCTTTATCTAAGGGCCTGTCCCACCTGATAGAGGCTCAGATAGCTTAAAAATGACATCACTGTCAGATAAGGAAACAAAAACTGATATTTTCAGCACATATTTACATGTTGGATTGATATCAATTTACAATTTGGTGGGACAGGCTCTTAGTTTAGTATTTTTTATAGTATTATAATATGAATTTTAACTACAGCCATTTTTATGAATAAAATAAATGTATTGTTTCCAGTAAGTATGTTGTACAATGCCAAAGTGCTTTTGTATTGTTTAACTCATAATTTATATAAACACTAGCTTTCTCTCGCGAATCTGCATGAGATTAGAAAAACAAAAGTGAGTAGACCAGAAATCCTCTATGTCTGCCAAATTTCATCAAGATCCATTTAGCCGTTTAGGTTAATTCATCCATATAAACTTTCGCATTTATAATATTGGTAAGATTTTACTCTCAAACACAGCTCTTTATAGAATATGTTTACACTGTAGGAAAATCTTTTTAAAGTTATATAAAATTAAATTGTTGTTAATAAATAAATTTTTGTCTTTTTGAAATTTAATATAAAAGTAAGGAAATGATATAGCTTATTGACTTATTGTTGATGTTAGTGGAATATTTGCACAAATGTAATTTGTTCCTTTTGTAAATGTATAATCTCTACATACACATTTCGACAATAGGCGTGAATGTTTATCATCATTAAGCAAAGATAACCTCATTTATTCAACATTAAATATCGCGATTAGTTTTTAAGAGCACGTGATTTATCTATAAAGCTATTTTATCACCTTATCGGGACTATCTCCGTCTCTTTCTGATTCACGCTGGCGATGTACTTCCGTCTCGCTCGATCACTTTCACTTTTTTACCGCTTTCCCAATGAGCAGTGAAACGCGGCTTCTGCCAAATGTTCGCGAATGTTGCCAAAGTCTTAATAACTTGGTTTTATGCATGATTACCCATTTTTGGTTGTTTTTAAAATAGTTTTGTACAAAAATACTAGGAAACTATTGAATTTTTTTCTATAAAAACACTTGTAAATATGATTCCATCCCTGTTATTCTCTAAAGGAAAAATGGATTTAGTACGATAAAATAATTTTATGTGTCTCCTCGAGTATTATGACGTCATAAAATATCGGTGTTATGTTGAGAATTTAATTTCAAAGTTGGTAAACGTAGATGCTGGAAGTTCTAGACCGCACGATCGAGTTATCGTCATATAGTACACAGCTTAGTGTCGAGTCCTGAAGCAGAGTCCAATTAACAAATTGTTCGTTTCCCTTCTCCAACAATGGATGCAGATAGCTCCGCGATTTGTACGCGTAGTCAAAGAATTAAATTCGCTTCCCACTTAAGTTCGGCGATTTAAGAAATCTCAGTACAGAAAACTCAGCTACTATTTTTGTAACCAATTAGGCAAAACTATGTATATTTGTATTTTGTGTGTGTATGTTATTAATCAATTTAATGTCGCCTCTGTGGGCGTTGTCATTGGGCTATTGAAATTACGTCTGCCGAGGTTTGATTGATGTTGCCCTATTAACCGATTTTGAAGAGTGACGTCACCACAAGCGTTAGTTCATAAACGATTTACTAACATACTGTACGCTTCAAGTTCTATCAGATGTCCTAATAAGGCTAAGATGAAATTAAAATTTTTTTATCGTACAGAAGTTGGCATTACTATATGCTATGATAGAGTGAGATAAACTATAAGATAATCAAAGTTATGACAGAGATAGAACATGTCTCTCAACTCTCACCTTTGATTCGATACCGTAGATACTTTTTACTAACTTCAGACGAATGTTGAATTATGACAAGTTTAATACAATCGTATGCATTATCAGTCATGTTTATTGAATAATATGGAGTTGTTAAGATACGGCTTGTTTATTACTATATGGAAATATACCGACGTAATAGTTGTAAAACTTTAAAGTAAACATAGACTTACATAAGATTAAAAAAAGTTATCTACCTATACTTATACATATAATAATAAAATATAAAAATAATGAAAGTAGCGCCAGTGGTGGAGAAATTGAGGAGCAAAAGGTTAGCGTGGTATGGACATATTATGCGACGAAACGATGGGGACATAAACCAGATTCAGATGTGACGGTTGATAGAGATGTATGGAAGAGCAGCACATACTGTGCCGACCATTCATAAAGGATAAGGGAAAGTAGATAATGGTGATCTATACATATAATAAAATTGGAGTGTCTGTTTGTAATATCAAAAAAAAATTTCCAGATTTCGGGAAGATGATGCGTCGTATTTGCGTTGCTAATAAAGAAAATTGCATTAATTTTTTTTGTCTGTTTGTCTGTAAGCCGCGTTTGTCCTGGGTAAATTCCGATAGCTTGGCCGATTTCGACGGAACTATCATTGGAGGGTGGCTGACATGGATATTATAGGCCACTTTTTTATCTCAATATTGCGTGGACGAAGTCGCCGGTAACAGCTAGTAAATATATAATTTTTGACAATAAAGAATTTAAAAGTAACTAGACATAGATACTTAAGTCTTTTTTTTATAATCGTGAGCTCGCTTGAACATTTTTTTAATGAAAAATGTTTTTTTTTCTTTTAATTAACATTTATTAATTTAGTTTAGT